CAGATCATTGATAAAGATACTGAACAGACTTCTCTATTTTTAAAAAGTAGTAATGGTTTGTGTTACTGCTACTTGCATTTAACTAGATACCCTAGTTACAAAAGTGATGCGTCTTGAAATGATGTCTAGCCTGTGATCTACTCCCTGCAGTGACCTAGCAGAATCGGCTAAATTAACAAAGAGGAGACATGGAAAAGGAAAGTTATAATCAGGCAGAAGGAAAACTGATCTCTCCTTGAACACAAGAGTATACCAAAACCCACTTGCAATATGGAAACAAAAAACTTAATGGGTTTCTCTAACAAAAAAAAAAAAAAAGATGCAAAGGAGAATCAAGGAACAAACTACAATTTTACAGCATTCTTTTGATAACTCAGTTATTTTGATCAAGGTGTAAACAGTGATAATGGGTCATCAACCAAGCCAGTAAATCAGTAATTTAGAAGATGTAATCTCATGATGAAAAAAAGGAGTTTTACTTCATTACCGAAATCAGGCTGTGGGATTAGGGATGAACTAACACATACCACTTGAGAATATTAAATTACCAAAAACACCCTAAGAAGAATAAAAAGTTCCTATACAACAATTCTATATACAATAATTTACAGATACTACTTAAGAAGAGCTGCTAGGTAACTTCTAATGCACATAGATTAGCGTATTTGCTCAATCCAGGTATCTACAGCCTAAAAAACCCCAAAACACCAATACAACGAGCATCAGAAGCCAGCAGAGATATATGAGGTGCACTAATAAAGAAATTAAGTCTCTAGTGGCCTAGAAATCAAAATAGTCTTTTAAGAAAAAAAGCTACAAAGAAAGAAGCAGTTGTAGCACTTTCAAATGTGGTACAGAATTAGCTTTTCTGAATTCTTAATTAACCCTTCATTCCCTCTGTCCACCCTGTTTGTTGCTTTGTGTTATGAAATACCAATAAATAAGCATAAAATTATTTCCAGTAATTATTAGCAACAGCATAGAACAACTTAGTCATGGCATTATATTCCAATAGTGAAGGTAACAACACTGACAGATGCAAACTTGTCATACTGTCAAACTCAAAGGAAAAAAAGCGAACTTTATACTGGATCTTTCCCAAAGGACACAGCTGAAACTACCTATCTTATTCACTGTAGATATATTGGTTGCCTTACTCTAGCCTGAAACTATCACACATATGTCTTTTGCCAATGTGCTAATGAGAGATGGTCTTTGCATCCAAGTCAGGATATCTGACAAGATCTTCGACCCAAGATCAAGCCAGCAATCCAGTCACAATAACAACAGTTTCTATTTCAGCGTATGTTCAAATTTTAGACTGGGGGGAAAGGAGGGGAGACAAAACTATTAAAGAACTACCTTCTATTGAAAACAAAATCAAACAAAACCACTATCGGAGATCATGCCACCTTGTTCTGTGTGTTCTACTTTTTTTTTCTTATGTTCCTTAAAGAGCTCACTATATTGTCCTCAGCTCGAAAACACTCACTGCTTTCAACTAGCAGGGTCAGTTCTTTACCCCACCAGAAACTGTAGGGTGGAAAAGAGAAATACCAAAGAAGGACCTAATGAAGTGAAACAATGGCCTTGATAATTTTTTCTTTTTTTCCTTTGAACTGAGACTCTGAGGCCCTCAGGCAAAAACCTGTCTTTGCCCACTGTGCTGGGAGTGGGGAAACAAAAAGGTTTAGAGCTTAAAAGCAGTTTTTTATCTTGAGTAACTGATTTCCTGAATGCAATAATGTAGACAGTAATAAAGCAGCATTTGCTGAAAGTGCATTGCTTTAGAGACATTGTATTCAAAGCTGAGACCTACTGTGAAGCTATAGCAAGCATTTTGTATAAAAGTATTGACTCCGAATTTTACTGAAGAAATGAGGAAACCCCAAATATATCACGATATACACACGTGTTATAATTGCGCTTACCTTGGAGACTGTGCTTCAGCTACCCACATCAGATCCATATTACAAGCAAGTACAGGAATGTGAGGGTAATTTTCATGGTGATAGGGTTTTCCAGGATAGCCACTTGTCAGCAAAACATCTATTATCAACTGAAGGTTGGTTTCCCATCTGACTGGCTCCCCAAATAAAACAACAGCTACGAGAACAAGAATTACAAAACAGAGTTATGGAATTAGTTAACAGGGCACCCAAATCTCTGACACTAAAACTTGGTCTAAAGAGACTGAACAAATAATTTGATTTAACCATGAACTGGTGAAATAGTCACATCAACTTCAACTTAGGGTTTTAATATATTACATACCCATTCATTCACAGAAAATCTCAGAAGTAACAAGACCCCACTGCAAAATCCACAGGTTTAAGAAATTTTTTTTAAATTGACTAAGTTTCTCCATAGCACCACAAAATGTTAACTTCTAAATTGTATTTCTAAGTCTTCCATATCTTTGTGAATTCTGTGTTTACATACAGTATTTAAATAATCCATCAGAGATGTTATTTTGTTCATCTTAAAACAAAATTTGAATGTTGTTTTTAGACATTTTTCTGGTCTTCAGCAATAATCTGACAAGGATTTTTTTAAATCCTAAAGTCCAGTTTCTACTTTCCTGTACTTCAGATGAGATGAGAGTGAATACAGAGTGCTGAAACAAGATGCTTCTCATGCTACAACTCCGAAGTGACCATCCTGACTACTGCAAGAACAAGACCAATTATTTCTGAACACGTCAATTAATTCCTCATTTTTGAAAGGAAGGCAACAATAGCCTGTTAAAGGAAGATGAAAAGGAAAGCAGACCTCACCTACCTTCTGAAACTTCAAAAACATATGGCTGAAAACTGCACACATGAAAAAACAGCTTTATCACACGTGATATATTCCAAATTAATGACAGATGCCATTAACAAGGAAATTTCAGAATTGTCTAGCGAACCTTCTGAAGTGCCCAGCAATCTAAAAATAAATTCTAATTATAAAGTACAATAAAGATACTTCATCTATTAATGGATAGTTGCAAGTTAAATAAAGATAACTGACCCTCAATCTTGGGAAGCTCCACAGCAGAGGGGTACTGCAATAAGAAAAAAGTGAAAGTTTTCTACAAGATTCAACATCTACTACTATTTTTAACAGAACGAATTCACGTATAGCTCCCACAGTTGCCCTCTGCAACACTGACAGGAAATGCACTGTCTATTTTGGTATATACCCGATGTCATTTTACTTAGAAACTTGTATTTCGATTCTGAAGTGAAATCTCGTGGCAAACAGACAGCAGACAAGTTAGCATGTTCTACATTCGCTAGCCTCCTACATCTATTTAACTTCCTCTGCCAAGCTATAAAGCTTCAGTTGTTTAATTTACTTGTGTATGAAGGTATGGAGTAAGAGGCCTCTAGTATTAACAAGACGTTTGAAAAATAGTTTTTCAAATTATTTCTTTAACACTGCTAAGAAAGAAAAATACATTGTATAACACATAATATATTTACTAAACAAACAAGAGTTTGCACTTCATGATTTACTCTCTATGGTGACAAATACATTAACAGTTTCTTGAACTTCTACATCCCCATGGTTGAGGAGCAAGGCAAAAGGTGATATAACTGAGTTATGGATGCCGTGAACCACAAAGAATTTCTTCACTTCACATGGGAAAAATCCACTCTATATGCTGACCCTGAATATGTACAATACACGCATGTATTTACTGCGTGTGTATTCACTTCTTTTTGAAATTCTGCACAATTCAGTTGAAACCATACTGTACACACTGTTAATATTTAAATATATTTAAATAATGGTATAAACAAGAAAGGGAGTCCTTTGGAGAAAAATTAGTTATCTGCAAAGCATTAATTTACAATCAAAGAAACCTCACAGCCTAGAAACAAGACCAAGACAATCCTATGCTGGAAAAAAGCTTATTTATCTTCCATACATTTGAGGAAGCTAATCTTTCCAAGATAGATTTTGAATTAGGTATCTGTACTAGATTATAAGTTTTCCCACAACAAACACAAAATTTGTTACAAAGTTACAAAATCAAAGATTATGTTAAAGAATTACCACTGATAGGAAAAAAAGTCTATACAGTTGTTCTTGAAAATGCTGTAACAAAACAAATAAAGATGCATAAAAGCAAAGTCAAAAGGCAATATAAGAACAACAGTATTAGCTCAGTAGTTTAAATATTGACCCCTATTATAGAATGTCATCTAATGAGCAAACAAAGAATTTTAAAACAAAAATACTCACTCACCAGAATGTTAGGTCTTCTGTCATGGTCAACTACATCTAGCAAAGGGTGTTTCTCCCGCAGTGTTTCAATGGTAATAGGTTGACAGAAACCAAGGCTGGGAAAATACCAGTTAAGGATACAGAATTGCTTATATTAGAAGATTTTTAAAATCGGTAATTCCATTTTAACATATGCAGTTTACCTGGTCAAGCAAATTATTTAGGAATGAAAGCAATATATCAAAGACTGACTTTATTCTGTGAGATAAAAAGATGATCATCCCGTTATTTATAAATGGGAGATGTGTGTCTGAAATCTTAAGACAGAAATTATACATAAATCTTTCTCAAACTATGAGATGAAAAGCAAGAAGCCACTCTACACCTGCAATACTCCAAGATCATCTTGGAGCACAAAAAGAAGTTTATCTGGCAGCAAGACAACATCTTGTGTAATTACTATAGGAAAGAAATATGAGCTAATTGAAGAAAAAATACTGTCTCCATAAACTGTGCTTTCCTTAGGCCATTATAGCTGCAAACGTATTGCTAGATAAACACCGTAAAGCTCAGACTTTTGCAAAATGGTGGACTGACCAATCAGGTTTAATTATGCTCTACAGGTAGTTAAGATAAACACCGAAACACATCAAAAAAGGAAAGGACCAAAAGGGAAAAAATAACCTCCTGATTTGCATAGCAGTGCTCTTAAATGCTGCTATATGCCATTAATTTAAACTTAGTTAACAAGAGGTAATCAAACTAAAACTGCTCATTTATGTAAAAAGCAGTTGTGATGCTACTCTCAATACTAAGACAACTTCTTACAATGCAAATGAAGATGAGAGCTATTTAAATATACCAGTTATACAAACTAAGCCACCTGATTTTGTATCGGAATTAACACCACAGGCCATTTGTAACGTTATTTTAAGACAAGATTATCCCGTATGAAAATGCATCTAACAGAAATATGTTTTTTAGATTTTGTATTCAGTTTTGTAATATACTTTTCTCTTAGCCATGCCTAACAAATTGTGACAGTTAACTGGAATGTTCTTTCAGTAACTTTTTCTCATCTTTCTATTTGAAATAAAGCTTATATTTAGAAGTTGTATATACATTTTTTACATCAACTTTATGATTTACATCAACTTTAATTAAAATCCCAGTAAAGAAAGAAGTGCAGAAGGGAGTTACTGGAAGCATGAGCAAAGATTACGCACAAGTTAAGGTCATTAAATTACAGTTTGACACTTTGATACCACCGTTATATCGGCATAATTCAAGTTCTTTTTGGCAGTTAGTATAGAAGCGGCAAAGTATTTTCAAGTCTAGTTCTACTCTAGATGTTGGTTACAAAAACAATGCGACCTGGCCTGGCCTGGCCGCATGCTTACAAGCAGATCTTGAGCCACTGCGCTAAAAGTCAGATGTGATAAATTATAGATAGAATGCCATGCTCTCATCCTCAAGAGAGCACAAACCCTTTGTGCTAAAGTGTCATTTACATATGAGTAGAAAAAAAAAAATTCTTTCTCTTTTTTCCTTCCTCAGATAGAACTCCTCCTTCCTTCCTAAAAACAGATAGAACAAAGTGAAGCAAATAACACACCAACCATTTTCAAAACATAAATTTGACATCATAGTAAGAACCATTGCTTATTACTGGATTCGTAGTGTTGAAATATTTGGTCTTCACTTGATCCACAGGATCCCCTGAACTTGATTAAGGAAAATACTTAAACAGAAAGTTGTTTTTTTTTAAAAGATACTCTTGAGCAATATCAAGAAGTGGTCCTTGTCCAGATACAAGAACACATTTTTCATGATAACGTTTGAACATCCGCAGAGGACTGTGCGACATCATCACTTGATCTTGTGAAATCTGTTTGGGATTTAAAAACAAAAGGAATCTGTTGTTTTTCAGATAAGTTATTTATATGTAGATTTAATTAACAGGTGTGACAAATTCTATGAATTACAAAACAATCATACATATCTACCTAAAACCCTACCTAAACATATCTTTTTCTCCTAAGTTTCACAGACGACGTATTGATAATATGCCAGAAAAAAAAACATTACTGACAAATTGTCGTACACACCACTTCGGCTTCCAGAATTACTTTATTCAACACGAACACAAGGTTTTCTCTCATAGTTGTACAGAATCACCAAATTCATTTAGAAAACAAACAGGGAAGAAGAATCAGAACTGCCCTAGTTCCAACTGTGGTCCCTTTGCTAAACTGCAGCATTGATTTAATTGTATCAGAAGACCACCTTCTTTTAGTTTACATATCCCCATTCCTTCAATAGGTATAAAGCCAGTAAAATTATTATCTTAGAAGGATGCTATTATGAATCGCTACTTACCACCTTTACAGATCTAAAAAACCCCAAAATAATTGAGATACCATTTTACCCATGACACACAGGATTTTACTGATACAGATACGCCCACGTCTGCTGGCCCTTACTGAAACAAAAGGCACTGCAGAACTAACTTTATGGCTTGATCTTACTAACGCTCAAACACAGTCTCCAACAACAGAGGAGTCCTACTGCCTGCAGCGCCCAACAAATCAGGGGGGAATAAAGCTTTACCACTTGTATCAAAAAGAGGCAGAAAGCTCCTGCCCTGCTCGTTATCACAGAAGACATTCAGCTTGCTAGAGCAGAGTTTCATGTTACTGGCACACACTTTTTTTTTTTCCCCCGAAGGAAAAGGCAAGATTTATTCCCACAATAATAATGTTGCAAAGAAATACCATTACCATTAGCTTTGCCATTGGAAAAATCAGTACCTTTACCAAAGGAAATAGCATTAGCTTTGGACAGCATTTTTTACTTTTATAATACCTCCAGCAAAGCATTTCAGGGGGCTTAAGGGAAAACCAAAACCGATTAACTGAGCAGCATGTAATGGAAGAGAATACATTTGACACATTCACCGTAAGTAAATAACTAAATAAATAGGATTTAAGCTACTCACTGGAACTCCCAGGAGATGAGACAACTGATCAGCTTTTTTCTGGCGAAGGCAATTCCCTGCGTTGGTGACAAATACTACAGGCACCAAGAATTGTCCCTGAGAATTAACTAGCTTTTGAAAGGCTGTTTTTGCGGCAGGAATTGGAGTTTTTCCTCGTACCAGTACACCATCAATGTCAAAAAGAAAACCAAAGGATGGCAGGATGTTGAGCTGTAAGAAGGAATTGAAAAGAAAGAGTACATTAGTTATGCCCTTACTTACGCCCGTTTGATAAAGCTTACGATAGCTAAAGCCCAATGAAAAGACACTTCCACAGAGAAGGAATAGATCTTTAACTTTGCGCATTTTAACGTGCCTTACAGACATATTCACACACTACAATACCTACTGTGGAAAAAGGAGCACTACAACTCCTTTTTCCTTATGCATACAGCCTCATGAGTTCTACCTCGCTTTATGAGTAGTTCCAGGATGTTTCAGAAGATTGGGACAAATCGAGTTAAACTGATAAAAAGAGGTACAAAATACATGCTGCTGTGCCAGCGAGTCACACTTTTGATTGATTTAACCCCACTCTATTTCACAGGTAATTTCAATACACAGAACACTAACAAAATAAACAAAACTAAATTTTTCAGCAGCAGGCAGGTCTCAAATGCAAATATTGTACTTGGCTCCGCCTTCACAAGATATTTAGATACTAGACCTGTCCCTGCTGTCACTTGTACTTTTCTGTTCCACAACAGGTTCGACTACAGCTAGATACCTGTTGTGCTCCTTATACATCGCTTCAATTGATTCTTAGTCTTATATATGGCAGACTAAAGCCTATTGTTAAAGTTAGCACCTCCTTAAACAAAGATGCTGTTTGAGTTACTAAAATTTATCTCATGCCTGCCTTTGAAGAAGTGAAGAACTGGACTTCATAAGCCCAGAAAAGGAGAGCGAGGCTACCTGGGGGTAAAAAAGATGAGCTGGTGATAAGCCTAAGGAGTGGAGACAGAGAGAGGACAGCTGAACAATGAAACCGTCACTGAATCAGGTTGGAAAAGGATGGACCAAAAAGGATCTAAACTTCATTTCTCTCCCAAGCCTAAAATGGAATCGAGGACTCTTGCGATTTGTGATCCCCTCTTTCATCGTCTGACAAAAAAGGAGTGAGAGATCAAGCACTGAGACCGAGTGTGATGGGGAGAACAGGCGCAGAAATGACTCCAGCCAGCGGAGGTGGGACAGCCGCTGCTGTTCAAGCTGTCTCCGGGGACATGCTGACAGCAATCCAGCCCGCTGTTTTTCGCGTGCAGGGAGAAGGGCATTTTGCCTATTTAAGCGGCACTTTGTTCCTCATTAATTATTCATCTGCTACATTTTTCCTGCAGCTGGGTACAGCGCAGAGATAGACACTGCCACCGCCACCACTATGTGAAAGGTGACGTAGCTACAGACACACTCCTTGACACGCTGGCTCACTGCTGCCTTTTCTAAAACCATGACACGCAAACGACATTTGAAAACCCATGCGTTAGAGTACATTCCCCCACAGAGCCCAATTTAATAAAGTCAACACTTCAAATGTATTGCAATATCACTGATTTTAATTAGGCAGTTGGTTTTTGTTCAGTTTTACAGGCAAGTACTCCCCCTGAAGCCCTCTCCTTTCTCCCCTATATAATCATCAGCCCTCTATTTAAAAACAAAAAACCCCACCACCATTGTCTCCAAGTTGCCTGCCAGAGTTTCACGAGTGCGACATCAGAAATAACTCAACTGCTACACAAATGGCATTGCAGGCTTGCCGGAAAACACACAGTAGTTCTCTCAGGCTTTGTAAACTGGTATGGAAACTACTGAAACTATATTGTAATAGTTTTGTAGTAAACACAGTTCTTCATATTAATTTTGCTACCTGTAAATAATGTAGGTTACAAATGTGAATTTTACAGTGAACAACACTGTAGCAAAAAAAAAAAGTCTTTTGCTAAGTATACAGAGAAAAAAATAGCGAAGAAGGGTACACCCAACAGGGGAATAACGAAATTAACCGCTGGTTTTTCCCTTTTGCCCATAAAGGAGCACTCTCCTCGCGACAGAAGAGGTCTGCAACGCGGCAACGGCAGAGAGGGGCCGGAGCCCTGCGCCCCGGGCGCCGCCCAGGCCCCTCCCCGGTTCCTCTTCCGTACCGCGGTAAGGCAAAGGCAGCCGTGGCAGAGGGGGG